GTCTAACTCGACGCACATCAATATCACGTCTAACTCGCACACATCACAACTCCGTTAACTCCACACAATTCACATATCATGTCGAACTCAACACACATCACATATCAGTCCAATGCCACATATGACATCTGGGTCTGCAGCAACATATTGTCAGCTCCGCCGAGCATCCTCCACGTTGCGTCAAATTATGTCACGGCCTTAGGTCTCGTGCCTTTACACTGCCAGTTGCGAGTAAGAAGAGCACCTGTAAAATGATTAAGTGCTTGAACCTCACCACCTCTCTCAGCGATCTCTCTCTATTCTATCATGATCTTCATCTCTACTCTATCTCGCGCGATGCTCTCGCTATCTCTCTCTCTCTAGCTTCGTAGAGATGAGTATCCTCTCCTCTATATTATCTCTATATGCTATAGTATTATATCTCTCTACTCTCTCTTCTCTCACCTCCTCACCTCCCTCTTAAAACCTTGCCGTATCATGTGTCAGCCTCAACACTGCGTCTCACGTCTCTCATCTTACACATGTCGTACCTCATATCTCACTCCTCACACTCCAGGTCTTACGTCTCACACCTCACTCCTGACGTCTCCCACCTCTCATCCTACACTTCACACATCCCACCTGCAATCTCGACTATCACATCCCACTGCTCACACATCAAACCTTGCTGCTCACACCTTACACCAAAGGGTTCTCTGACGCATCACACCCCGCGCCGACCGCACCTCACGCATCAAACCTTGCTGCTCGCACCTCGCACCAAAGGGGTCCCTGATGCATCACACCCCGCGCCGACCGCGCCTCACGCATCAAACCTTGCTGTCCACACCTCACACCAAAGAGTTCTCTGACGCATCGCACCCGCGCCGACCGCACCTCACACATCAAACCTTGCTGCCCACACCTCACACCAAAGAGTTCTCTGACGCATCGCACCCCTCCCCGACCACGCCGGGTACTCACACAGCACAATTCGTCCAGGTTGCCGAACAGGAGCTCCGGCTCGGCCACCATGAGATAGCCCTCCACCTGCACCTGCTTCAGGGGCTCCATGTACACCTGTGGGGGCGAGGTCAGGTCGTCGGACGTCCGCCCGCGGCCGCCGCCGCTGCGGCCTCACAGGTGGTCGCCTCGCATGCATCACTCGCAGGGATTCAGCGGATCGATGGCGTTCATCACACTCAAAGCTAATGGGTTGTGTTATCAAACGTGGTTTGATGCTACCTGGGCTGCGATCGAGCTGACAATGGGGTTGCCAACATTTATCGGTAACCGGACACATGGGCCGGAATTAATGTAAGCTGCACTATAAGCCCGTGTGCAAGGCTTGAAATGACCCAACGCCATGTTGTGGCCCAATTACAAGGTGCTCACTCTCACTGCCTTTGGCTCAGGCTCACTGTGTTTCCATTTTCTCTGCTGGAAGTTGTCTCCGGGCGTCTCTTGAGCAATGCGCGTTAGCTACCATCCATTTTCAGTGACCTTTCTCTTGCTGACATTGCAAATTGGATATGCCCCAGAGGTTTTCGCAGCAGCTTTCCCGAATCCCCAGCGGTGGAAAGTAACGATCCTGAGAAAGCGTTCTGCATCGCGACGTTGAGACGTCCGGTTCGGCAACAAGTCGCACACCACTATGCAATGCCTGTTCACCCCAAGCAGCAGACCGAGCCATTGCGGCTGACAGCAAGGCATCTCCCAAAGTTATTCTGCCAGCCTACCCTTTACACGACCAGCGCTCCCTCTCGCCTCCCCACCGCTTCCCTCCCTCCCCATTCCCTCGCGTCGACTCACGTTCTTCAGGACCATCAGGTGATCGTAGAGGAATGCACACTCGGACTGGAAGAGGTCCCAGACCGCCTCGTGGCAGCGGCGCTCGGTCGGCGGGCTGTCGGCGGCCGCGCCGCGTCGCGCCGGGCTCTCGGGGCTAGCCACGCCCGAGGCCGGCGGCGTGGCCGGCGGCGAGCGGTCGTAGCTGGTCCACACCAGCCGACGCCGGAACAGACCGCGCCGCTCCGTCAGACTGCGCTCGCTCAGCGTGCGCGTCAGCGTGGCGGGCGGCCGCGGCCGGCGCGCGCGCGTCGCCGGCAGCTCGCACGGCGTCTCGGTGGACTCGCTGCGCTCGAGCCGCGACAGCGCCAGCGCCGCCGCCGAGCCGGACGCCGGCGTGGGCGCCGGCGGCGGCACCGTGCCCGCCTCGACGTGGTACACGAAGTCGGACCAGGGCAGACCCTTGTAGCGGTGCAGCTGCTCGTCGCGGAACTCGGACGGCCGGATCTCCATGAGGACCTGCTCGATGCCGGTCAGTGACTCGGACTTCAGCGAGCGGCCCGACCGGTCGAACTGAAACGGACGCGACGGCGGAGGTCACGTACGGCAGCGGCTGACGCAAGTCGTGGGGCTGCGGACGTGGGTCACAGCGGCCTAACTGAAATAACCGATTTAAGAAAAAAGTTGGGCCTTAAGTGCGGTATATTGAGGGTCACTTGAAAACGGAGATATCAAAAGTCCCCTGGCGAGACCGGCAGTACAGTAAGTCAAACAGCAGAAAACGGGTAAAGAAAGAGTGAGAGAAAGAGATATGGGTGAGCCAGGTTCGGATAAAATCCGGTTAGCGATCAGATGGGAGCTGCGACCACAGAAAGCAACGGCGCAAGAAGACAGGCCCGGAAATTGCCACGCCCGTAGATGACGTGGACTAATCTCCGTCTGGCCGTTGGAGCAACGATATTTCATGTTTTGCCCCCAAGCTGTTGCACGTGTAATCGTTTAATGTTATTGAGCGCAGAGCTAAAACTCAGGTTTATGATTGATGGAACAACAAAAAACTAAAAGTCGTCCTGTATGTCGACCTGTAACCCACTAGCCGGCTGAGTTGGGCAGATGCACAATGCTCAACACCATGTACTAGCTAACGCGTCATTCTTGAACCACATTCGTACCTCTGTTTCTACAGCAAACTTGTGCAGTTTTTGCTCAAACGCAACATTAATTGTACTGCAAAAACTAATACAGGACATAAGAGTTACACGACAAAACTTATGTTGCAACATCTATGAACGGCATTACTGCTATAGTAAAAGCTTATACATTCTTTACTTATACGCCATGTTACGTCTTTTACGGCGAGTTGCATGCGACATCAGTGCTACACAACACTAGGAAAGTAACGAAAAACCCTTATCTAAAAACAAAATACCTGCCATTTTGACCACCGCAAAAGTGTATCGTCTTTACTTGTCAGCGATAATATTCCTTCGGCCGATACATGTACACGAACACTAGTTAGGTTTATAATTTTTATTACGCTCTCAATGTTAAACGTTTCACAACACCTATCAACGCATAATACATCTATGCTTTATTGTGCATCTCATTGAAAAATCGATATACTTATACGTCACCTGAATGCTTGCACTCTTTTTCGGACCTCCCGCGAAATATGATTGGCGTACATGGGAGGCAGCCCATGGATGTTGCTATCCTTAAAGGGAGTGTCTCAACTCCTTTGTACCCCTCACTTATTGTTACATCGGACGCGATGGACGTTATATCAATTTGATCAGTAACACCAGTTTTCTGGAAAATCTTCTAAATAGCTCAGAATTTCTATTTGAAGTAGCCGGCCTTGCGGGAGAAATTTCCTTTGACTCGCCACTACGGAAGTACTACGTTTCATTTGCCCTGCTTTTGCAGCGAGTGTATTCTGTAATGTTTGCAAGACACTAACGTGTCAAACTGTGTAATAGGTGCTACGAAAGCTTGGTGTACCATGTTTAGATAAGAATACATGCGAACATGGATCTGACTAATTAGCACTGATATCCTTATTATGTCTCGACGGTGCTGCAGTGGTACTACCCAGCGCTATTATCAGACATCACTAGTTCTGAGCTTTTACTTGAGAGTGTTTTATAAATGTACCTCGAAAGTGGGCCACTCCCCCTTAAAAGCCCTAGACAACAGCTAGACTCCTTTGTCAATACTGCGCTCGGGTGGGGGTCAATTTTATCCCCTCCAAAGACTTTTCCAGAATGGTTTCCGAACAGCGGGGCGTAGCCGCGTTAAATTCTGCATAACTGTAGACAATTGAATAGCAGGTCGTTTGGCATCAAAAATTTTGACGCAACTTGCAGGGTCGTAACGTACGGCATGCCAGTTAGGCCATGGATTCGGCGAAGACGATTTCTAGGAAATGGTTCAATGTGATGCAACAATGGGTGTTAGACTAGTCAAACGTCTCTGAGATAGTTTCTTAGGAACCACAGCAATTGAATTAACAGATTCCATTGACCCAGGGGCAGGCATAAAGGTTAGACCAAGGTCAAAACCAGCCGATACCAGCCTCTAGAGCTCGCGATATGGGGACGTTTCTGGTGCTCATTTTGAGTTTATCAATAACAGGAACCGCGCTACAACCGTCTGTGATTTTCTTATAGGTCAGAATAGCTGACTAACCTTAAATGATCCCGGTCAACATTTCGTTCTTAAGAACGTGCTGCCTAGCGCGATCCTTGACGCTCCATGACCTTCGAAAAGTCAAAAAAATGTAGTTGATCTTACATGAGCACCAATACATTTTTACTTGGAACAGGTATTCGGGTCCACGGTGGTTGCGCGAGAAGGTCTGGGCACTTGGGGCACCAATCTGGAGTTGGACCTTTTAACTTTGTTTGACCCTGTTTGACCCGAAAGTCATGACCTAATAATCTCAAATTTTGACTCAAGTGAGTTCATGTACACACCAATAAACCTTATGAATTTGATGTCTCCAGCTTTCTTAGTTTTTGAGATCACAGGTGGTTAAGTTGACCTCCACCTAGGCGAAAGGTATAAGGGCAACCGGCCTCCCGGGCACGTATAAGGAAATATGCTTCTAAATAGTCACTGTTTGATTACGTCATCGTACCTTACAAAATAATAGATTAGAGCCAACTGGTGGTCGTTATATCCGGAAAATTGTGCTCGCGAACGCCAGATGTGAATGGCTCGACAATTCTATTTGTATTGGACTTGATTGTTGCTGGGCTGATGAAATGGCAAGATTTTAATGTCGTTATTATGGTGTCATGGATGCCTGCATGACCTTCTAAGAGTCTCCCGAACTGGTTGGCACATCTTCGCGAACGCGTAGCTCAGAAACTAGAGAGACTTAGATTGGAGAGGGCAGGACTGTATACTGCACCGAATGATCTTCAAGATGGCTATTTTACTTAAAACCACTATGCAAATGTGCAACACACCCTTACACCTTTTGCATTGTTTCGTGCTCTGTTTCTGCCAGGAGGGGAACACACGTCGCTTCGGTGCCGTTCCCGATCGCTTCGCCTGACGTCGAACCCCCCCCCCCCCCCCCCCCGCTCTTCACATCTCGTCTCGGTCAACTGAGTGACGCGTTTGTCATCGGTCATGCCCAGATGGTGGACTCTTAGGCTATAATTACCTTTCCAGTTGGGCAGAAAAGATCTCCAGATTTCTCCTCCGAAAATCTGGCAGCCCACTGAGCTGAGCCGGAGCAGTCTAGAGTGGCGAGACTTGGACAGCCATAGAGAGAGCATTCGCGTCAGCCCGAGCGTATGAATAGGACCCGAGCAAACTTTGAGGAACTCTGTTACAAGACCTGACACAAGTTCTTCTCGTTTGTGCCGCTACTTCGCTCTACTGCTTGCATTCACCGTGTTTATTTGTTGGTTGTTACGTGTGATTCCACGGAGCCAGAACAGGGTTTGCTCATTTCAAGTTCATGTTAATTCTATTTCTGTGAAGAGAGCACGTCATTGGTTCACCCTCGGGTTTGCTCGCCAACCAATCGCGTCGTCTTCCCAACTTTAGTGACCTACGACTGGCACCATCAGTCAAGTTGGCGTGTGACGTACGAGTTACGACGATTCCTTGGCCGTAACTGGTACAGGTTTTCCAAAACGTACACGCGTGTCGCGCAACACCTTCACAAACCTCGCAGTGTTGAGGACACCACCACTCGCTCCTCACTTCTTAACCACGACCTGTCTCACTCCCGCTTGGATCCCTCCGACCGCTTTCGCCCAGCCCGCGCTCATCGCGGGAGACCCCAGAGCCATATCAGCCCGAACATGCCCAATGACCGCGTCTCTAACCGAACGCGGCCGCCGTTCTGCGCATGCGCGAGCCACGCACGCGGCTTTGATTTGACGCCCGGGCTGATCCGTCGAGATACCGTCCAGACCCCGATTGAGCCGCGGTGAATATAGCGCGGCGGGATCAGGGCGCTTCAACTGAGACCCCTGCCGCCGACTTCCAGACTGCACGGGACCTGATCGCAGACGTCCAGCCGTGATTGGGGCTTTGCTAGCAGCGATTTGTCTGACGTCAACCGACGGTGACCTCACAGCCACCTCTGCGGTCAGCGGCTGCTGAAGATCCCGGGTGCCCGCGCGGCAGCCGGTGGTAGAGACGCGGGTGGGACGGCTGCCGGGAAAGTTCTCACGAGAAGGGAGGGAACCGACGGCTCTCTCGGAAGCCGCAGCCTTCCGCCGCGGCGGCGGCACGGTCGTGGCGCGGATGTGACCTTTCCCAGATATAACGCGTCCGGCCGGTGCCGTGACCTTTTCAGATAGATTCGGCTGATGGGCCGGCCGAGTCGCGGCCGAGTATTAGAGAGCCGTCGCTCCCGGTCTGGGCGGTGTGGAGACCACTGTGACGCCCACGACACCGGGGTCTGTGGGGACGGAGACGGCGTCCTGTGCACCCCTGCTGTCCTGGCGGCAGTGTTTTCGCCGGGCACCACCGTTGGCCCGCCAGAAATGGCGACGGAGGCCTGAGGCGGGCGTAGCGCGCTTGTTTTCATTCACTTTACGACAGTGAGTGATGGCGTAGTATAAAAGCGGGCATGCATCACAGGGCATCAAATGCTGCGTTTGCAGCAGTTAGATAATACAGATTCACTTAGACAAGTCATTGAAAAATCGTTTCGAAATTGGCCGCAGACTGACTGTCATGCTTTGCATTCAACCTGAAATAAAAGCACAACATCCCTTCATATCGGTGACATTGTAGCACACGCAATGCAAATCATACTGTTTTCAACGTTGCATGCAGAACAATCACGCTTTAACATCGGTGTCTGCCTTCCTGGTGTGGGGGGGGGGGGGGGGGGGGGTCTTCGTATAAGCCTTCAGGGGCGCTCAAATGCGACTAACGTTGCATGCTTTACTGAGCCTTGACCTGCACTACGGCGACAGAAGCCCACCTCACTCAGGGGGCGCTCGCGGGGCATGCACGGCACGCATTCTCACCAGTTTCAGAATGGACCACGTCGTCCTGCCTTTCCGGGAACAGGTGGAATCTGCAACGGACGGCCGACTCTTAGCGGCGGGCGGCATCGCAAGCGACTTCAAAGCAGCCATCCAGACCACACTGTGACGTCCTCAGAGCTCTGCGCCGACGGCCGATGATAGACGGTCGACGCCGGCGGCATCACAAGAGAAGCCACACCGCCGGCAGTCCGTGCAGACACGCGGCTGACTGGGCGACAGTGGAGCCCTCATCAGTGGCAGTCGCGCGGCCCGCGGGCGGCGGACGGCGTAGGACGGGGCACTGGGTTCGAGAGAGGCGCGAGCTCCAGCGCTCTCGAGCCACGCCCATTGTCGGGTCTGACGCTGTGGCCTCACACGGAGACGGTCGAATCAAAACGTGGCGTGGATTCGGCAGATGCAAAGCGATTTGGAATGATTGGCTGCAAGTGCGAGATATTGCGAACGAGTGCGATATGGTCACAAAAATCGGGCAATTCATGGCCATGGAATCCCTGAAACCAGCGTCAACGACGGCCATGTCTGGTTTGTACGGCTCATACTTTGAAAGTTGTGTGTTCCTTCCACTAGCTGGGTGTCTATGGCACGCTACAAATCGCGTCGGTAGGGAAGAGTGACCAAATTTCATTATGACCAAATTTCGTCTTCAAAAGTGACCAAATTTTATCATCAAGTTCAAGCATTATTTAACCCAACTTTCCATTGCTACTGAATTCCGCGCGGATGTTCTTGTTTCAACCGCATGAGATCTCGATCACTGCGGAACCGACTTTTACGCCCCAGCGGTGGAATGTTCACTGGAGCGTTAACTTTTTGCACGTGCGCTTTTTAGGAAAAGCTGTCATTGATACAATCATTGCGGAAATTCAGGGAAAACACGTTATTTTAGGTGCTTGATCTTGGTTAGGTGTTTGCCACGTCGCCTCAAGTAAGATCTTACCTTGCCCAAAATTATGCGTTAGACCACACATTTTATTTCTATCCCGATAGAAGTACTAGACAGTGTTCTAAGGCCTTCACTTTCAGGGCCATAGCGGATGTGCGACTTTTCAGTTGGCAAGGCACATTTGGTATTTGCCACTGGCCGATGTTTCTCCATCTACTTCTACTATGTTCATGATGCCAAGGGATGGCTTGAACGGATACACGCAGTCATAGCCACCTGTTTGTACAAAAATCCTTTTAACAAAGTGAATGCCCTGTGGTTTCCGTGAATCCTACAATTCAACCCATGTGGCAAGTCACGTATTCAAGCCCATCCACTTACAGGTCCTAGCTCCGTCCTGAGCAGTTTGCTCGCATCTCACATAAGCTATGAGTGATTAACTTTGATGCGAGCTGCGGTGCGACAATCCTCACCAATCAAACAATAGCGGTGGAGTAAACAATAACCAGGTGAAGTAAACGACGTGAGGACAGCAGGTGCGCCTAAAGCAGCTTGCGAGTCGAGATTGATATTAACGGGATTACCGGGATTCCGAGTCTTCCAAGGATCACACATTGAGTCTCCTCCGCGTCATGCAGACGGGGAGGAGAGGGCTGAAACTTGAATAGTCTCATTAAAATCCGCGCTTTAAAAATGAACTGAGGCTCAGATGATGAACTCTGATGCCCGGAAACACAGCTGCCGAAGAAAACATCCGTGATGGGCCAATTTCATCCGACATGGAAGTGGGGCTAGTGGGTTGTTGGGTACAACGTACGCACAACATAAATAGTGCGCGAAAGCTTACCAAACGAGACAAAACAATTGTTGGATGTGATAAGCATGACCAAAAATTGCACGTGTCAATCCTAAAAATGCTAGAGACTTTCCTGCATTAAAGCGGCACCTTTGTCCAATAATGGCTCATCATCAAACCCTACCCTACAAGATGCCTGCACATTTCCTTTAGTTCTGAACTTGAAACATCTCGAACAATTCGCTAGATCTTCAAAGCATGCCAGCCACCCGCATATCTAATTTATGTTTAAGCGCTCGCGCCTAGAAAATATTTAATTTATATGAGGCACACCATTATGCCCACTTAAACCGACAGATCTCCACGTCCCGCATTCATGCATTATTAGCAGCGTGTGAGTTAGGCCGCGGACGATAGCTGGCGAGCCTAGAGCCTGCGAACATTGTTGGGGGGGGGGGGGGGGGGTTCAGACTCGATCAGCCCGGTGGGACGAGGCGCAGAGTTTCAACGTCTGGATGAGAGCATGGATGACATGAAGTTTGGAAAAGAGCTGGAGAGAAGGCTATATTCTCAAAACTCGGAAAAACATCATCGTAAGCTTCACGAGCTGCGAATAGGAAGCGCGCACCTGCGCCACATTCTCGACTGAATGTACGTTTTGAGCTGATTCGAGGTACATATATCAGATATCACATATCTATCATATCACATATATCATACCTGAGAACAAAAAGTTCAAGCCTGCTTATTGAAGGCCAAGCCAAACACATCGTTACTGGCGGATATGATATAAATTGAAAGAATCAACCGTCGTAGATTGGACGAATTGTCCATATAAATGCCACCTTTAGTTCTCGCGTTCGCTGAGCGTGCTGATTACTTCTGGCAATACCTATCAACAAGCAACCCTGATAAAATTAAATAAATCGCTCCGTAGCCAAGTCAGCAGCCAGCCACCAACAGCAGAGCATCGATGCTAACAAGGATAAGTGAAAGGTCACAGTTGATTCGACGACAGTGAGGCGTGAGCTGGCCAGCGCTGACTCACACGTGGTCTGCAAGCGTGGCGTGGTAAGAAGAAATCCGTCACAACGTATTGTGGTGGCTGAGCGAACATAAGAAATGCTCAGATGCTCTTTTATCTACTGTTGTAAACACAACTGCTGGTTAGAGGTTACATTTTTAGCTACGATGTTGTCTCGTGCATACAACAGTGGGCTATTTTGCTGATAAAATGTTGGTCAAGTGAGGTTGCCCTGTCACATACTTATCCCAGTTAGCAAGTTACATAATCACCTCAGCTAGCCATCTTCCAGTGATTTGCTTTTATTATTGGCTAATATGCGCCAAATCACATAAGCCTGTCTCCTCGCTCTTACACAATACGTCATCGCGTTTAAAGTCAAGCAATGAGCAACATATTCGTTTAAACTAGAAAACAGGATAGAGATGACGCCTATCACTGGGTCGCCTACCTTGTTGTCTAAATAACTTACATTTGAATACAAAAATGAAAAGCTAGCGATGCAGCAGGAAACCCTTTTTAGCATGATTTTTGAGGCCTAAAAGTCACTTATTAACAAAGTAAAGATCATACAAAAATATAATTTCTCCACGTCGGTGCTTCTGCTTCCGATTCTTTGCCACTTTCACTCCTTACCGCTGAGCCAGTTCGAGACCCTGAGGAGAACGTAACGAGAGCTCAGAACCCCGCATGACCCTCACGCATTCGCGCATTAGCTCCAGACCCTGTATCCGCTTACGCCCCGCTGCATCGAGGCCTCGCCAAATCGAACGCACCGAAGACGACGAGCTACGACAGCCATCCCGGGTACGAACTTTTACACAGCCTACGCAAGCAATCACGGAATCACGGACCCTTGCCCTTCTGGACGGGGTCGGTTTGAGATTGGAGGCAGTTTAGCTTTGCTGATTACCGGAGCGTGCCATTGTTTTGCCTCAGCACCTCCCCCTGTGACGATGAAATGTTCCGAGTCCTCTGCACAAGTTCATATGTATGAAACAACGAGATTCTAACAACGTCAATGATAAACCAACCAAAAACTCTAAAACGAATCCACGCTCTGACAACCACGCACACACGTACACAAGCCACCTACAGACACACGCACAGACTCACGCACGGACCCGCACCTTCGCGCACGCGAGTGTGCAGTCACCCAAACGCATGCGCACCGGCCTACACACATCCACACTTACCGGAGTCGGGGGCAGCCAAGCTCTGCGCTGACCCGTAGAGGTGACTCTCTGAAACACGACGAGGTCCGTCAAATTCTCGAGCAACCGTTCATTTTCTGAGGCTAATAAAACAGCCGAAGCAAAGCATAACGATTAGTATCAAAACTTATGCATACCACTCATGCGTTGGAGCTATTCGTTCTTCTCAGCCACTTCAATACAAGTGAGTCGTATGCCTGCAAACTGAACTTTGAAATATGATGCTGGAAATAACCCAGGTTGTAGAATGTTGCGACTTAGAGGCCTACGATTACGGCGACCTTATAAATGTTTTGCACAATCATAGACTACTTCAAAATATTTTCACAAATGCTTAAAAATTATGGCTTGAAATATTTTAACATCACAGTAAAATGTTTTGAGATATTGTACAAAACACTTGATGGTTGTGGGAATTTATAAATAATCTTTGCTGCCTTCCGATGCTGTGTTAAGCCAGCAACGTCTCTTCTGCAAAGGCTTCAAAGCACTTGGGAAATCCATACATTGCAGCTGCATTGAAGCCGAAGACCAGAGTTAGGCTGTTATCTATCTTGACGTATTACCGATAGCAAATTATTGATCCGACATAATTCAATGGGACTTAAATACTGATTGACGGAGACATTATTTCACAAAGCCTCCTAATGTATCAATTTGCAAATATATTCGACGTTATGTTCCTCAAGCTTTTTCAGGTTGTGCCGGATCGTGTAGCGCGATAAGCTTTGATGGAAAAAAAATTCGAGGTCGAAATGTAAAATCTGTAGACGATGTGCTTGCGGAACTCTGCCTGGCGGACCCACACGTCACAGGCAGACGCAGGCAATGCCGCATGTCACAGGCAACTGGGACATGGTAGAACAGCTGCGGTAAAGCAGCTTTCTATGGTACATATAACTGTCCAATCTCCGTCAATATGAGAAGACAAATCGCCCATTAAACGGACATCGGTCTTGCGATGAACGAAATAAATGCCGACAGGCGCATGACCGTTAATGGTGACGTTTTCAAACACGTGGGTAGCTAGTGTTTTAATTGGACGTAAAGCTACAGTATCGGACTGCAGTGTCTAGAGTGGGCGTTGCCCTATAACGCAGAGTGGCTGGGCTCCGATCAGTCCAGAATTAAAGCCCGACGGAACAGCAGGCTAATCAGTCTCCACCCACAGCGGCTACTCCAACGCAAGGTCGTCGCGCACCTGTGCACGACCCGGTCGTCCTGTTGACGACCGCAGCGCAGGCCCCAGCTGCGCCACAGCCCACAACCCTGCTGTGGGCTGAGGAGCGCGGGGCCGGCGGGCCTCGCGCCGGCCGGGGCCGCGGAGCGGGGGGGGGGGGGGAGCTCCCGGTGGTGATCCGTCGACTCCGAGACGGCTCGCGGAGTCCTGGGAAGCGCAGTCCGGCTCGCCGGAGTCGGTGACGAATGTCCGCCCGGGGGGTTATCGGGGCAACGACACCGCTGAGTCGCCGGCACACCGCGCCACACAAGTCGGCGGCAGCTCGAGCTTCAGAGTTGTAGTAACGCATCAGGGAGGCCCCCGGAGCTCCGAGTCAGATTAATGGCCCCACGGGTAGTCACGAGTGTGCCCGATTTCGGGGAAGCTGGGAAGAGAGCAGTGCCCAGCAGGGCCTCCGAGTGAGCCGCGCCTGCAGGGACCCTCCATTTTATGTCGTCCCAGGACAGGGGCCCACTAACCTTCGGGGAACTCCCCGACATGAGGCGGTCGATTCCCGAAGGGTGACTGGGGTCTTTCACTTTGAGCAGGACCTTTGCAGCTTCCGTACGCCCTTTGTAAAGGTCGCGACCCCGTTAAACCACGTAACGGAGGCACGCCAGGCTGGCCTTCGACGCTTGTAGGAGACCAATCACCCTTCGGACGGTAGTATGTCGTGATAAAACATGTCACTCTAAAGAAAATAACTTCAAGGAAAAAATAAGTACACGAAGCATGGTATGGAAATCGGTACAACACACATTTATTGTATTTGGAGAGGAGGGGAGAATACACGCAGCTTCCAGACACTAAAAAATGCGCTTGCAGAAAAGATCCAATTCTATGGTTTCGACGTTGTGCGCATTCATGCCTACCCTCAGGTGGCACTGGGAATGGCAAAAACGTCACAAATCCCAAACGCCTGCACGTTGAGACAGGTTACCCATAAGCTAGCCATGCCCCCAGCGCCATTCGACACCAAAATCCCTTAACTGACCCGGGACGGCGAGCCCTTCCTGCCGTCACTCTGCGATCTCCTTCCCGGCCCGTGTTCACTCAGAGCACGTGATTGGGTCGTCGCCGCTCACATCTGACCCCGAGCGGCGCGTAGCACACAAGGCTCCCGGCGTCCGCCGTTTCGTGCGCGGCATCATCACGACCTCATCCTGTGCGGGTCCCGAGCGTCCCCGGAGACTTGGCGCCATCATTCGGCCTTGGCGCGGCAGATGGGCCTCGTCACGAATCGGCCGGATGTGAGCGGGAGGGCGACTGACTGCCAGTCGTCACGTCAGCGATCGGTCTGAGCAGCTGGCCAGTTGTGTACATTCGCCGCCAGAGGGGTGTGCAGACGCGGGTGTAACTGACAGCGGCCTATGATCGGCGACGATAAACGCCCTGTCACGTCGCTATCTCCCACCACTTAGAACGTTTCACGCAGGCAAACGTGTTTCGCAGAAGCGGAACAGATCGCCTGCCACGTTAACATGTAAATGAAAACCACGAAATTGCGCCGGGTCGCACAGGACATTCGGCATTGATTTTCGTCGAGCGCTCCACGGCCGCCGGCTGACTGGTCGTTCACTCAGCCCCGCCCTGATGTCAAGGCGCGTGTTGTGAGAGCAACAGTGGCTGACACGCCGAATGGTATCAGAATGCCGCCGAACTTATGCAAGGTTTTATTCAGCACCGCCTCCGTGGTCTTGGGGAACACGAGCCGCCTCCGTGGTCTTGGGGAAAGATGCTGGACTCGTAATCCAGCGGCACTGGGTACGAGTCCCAGAGTGGGCGCATTGTTTGACCCGACTGAAAAGGAAAGGCCAGCTGGCAACTGGCCAACGAGGTTCAACGCAGACCCGAGGCGGCCGTGTCGCAGCATTGTGCGGCACGTAAAACCCTCCGCATCCCTGTCTGGCGAAAGGGCGGAGGCAAAATTAGCTGTTGAACTGGACGGCACGCTTGGGTGGTGGGTTCGGGATACACGCAACAAGCTATGCTTAGCAGGTACTCTGAATCCGAAGTCACCCTTACAAACCATTCGGAATAAATTTATAAAAAAAACACTCACGAGATGTCATAACCTCGGGCCGGAGCGTCATTCATGCCGTGACAACGCGAAGCATCGGTCGTATTCAGACCATTGTTTTAAAAAAAAAATTGCAAAATCTCCGGTTCACAGACTTCTAAGTATAATGTACGAGCATGCTCCATGTTGCAAAACAGCATACTTTCTTGTGAAGGATACTCGTGAGATACTATCCTGTTAACGAGGAATAGTTCTGACTACATGATTAATATGCGTGTTCGAAACATATCGAAAGAACAATTATTTTTATGACAGCCTACTAAAAATGTCTGACGGAGGCTTCGGCACCGATGCATGAAGCCCCGCAAAAACAGCTTTTTACCTCACAGCAATCCCGTGCGGCAGCAGTGCAGCAATCTAGAAGCAGGTCATTGAGGGGCAGACCCCATGAATATCGAGTCCTTTAGGTTTTCCACCAAATGCTCTGTGTTGGTTAAGTTTGTCACGAAGTTATTGGAATTCCCCACTTGCTTGGTCGGAAAAGACTTCCTGGCGCAATGTTGTAAGCATATGTAACTTCTCACCATGTATACCACTACTTTTCATTACATTTCTTGCGAGTAAAAATTCGTCGATATGATCTTGGAAATGCGCAGTGTTCACATTCCCCTCCGAGCTAAACCGGCATTTTCCTTCTCAACCGTCGACCAAAAAACCTACGATGTCGGGTCTTTGCTCTTGCTGAATGTTTGTTGTAATATTGTTCAGCTTACTTACACAGATGCTGCAGTTGCTCTTCATCTTACACTCCAGGAACATCCGTCGATTCTGACAGTCAAACTCGACTGTGATAATTCAGTTCGCCGAATGCACTTCACTTTATGACGATCAAGTTTGCCAATTAATTTGATGACTTCAGTAGTTAAGCAAAAGATGAACGTAAGAAAAAGAAACCAATGCGCTATGCCACTGGAGATGAGATTGCATTTCATCTCAAAATGACATTCTCGTCATTATTTTTTCTGCTCACGCGGATATCTCGTCGAAATCCTTAGTGACTGACATCTTTTGTCGATGGCACAGAATATCCCAGCGAAGGCGTTCAGATGAATTATTCACTACACTATAGAATGCCAAGCAGTCTGCGTCTTTTGGCGAAAACACCCCAGGTACTCCGATGTAGGAGCAGACGACGAGCCCAGCTTAACTAGCAAAGGGTTGTTATGACAACGAAATGTTGTCAATGTTTCAAAGGGAGCAAAGGATATTGCCGCAAGCTAGTGTAGTCTTTTTTGACACAATTATATGAATTAATAGATCTTCCTCTCGATACGACGTATTCAAGGGCCCGTGGGTTATCATACCGCATTCAAAGCACCTGGAAACGAGTGAGAAGTCAGCTAATGTTCTCACTTAGCATATAGGTCAGATAAATCATTAACATAAAACTCGGTGTGCAATGAGCTGTGTAAAATAATACGTTGCTTCAAGTCAGTTTGTTCATCCACTTAAGGCGCCTGTTTTGGTTAGTGACACAATCAAGCTGCACATGCCAAGGAACAACACAATTTTTATACGTGACGTTCTATGCATTATACGTAATGTTTTTCAATGTTCTATACTCAATGCTGTCTATACTTCTCTCATCACACCTTAATTTCCTGCGCACGACATTCCTCTATAGGTTGTTGGTTGTGCCAACACACCACGCCCCAGATAACGCTGGTGTTCGTTCCCCACCCACCTGACTGCGCTGTTTTCTCACACGTCCCGACAGCCAGCCGGCCATTA